GAAAGGGAAAATACAAAAAAGAATACTTTGTTTAATGAAAGGTGTAAATATCAGAACATCAAGTAGACCTATTTTTAAAGAATTAAAGTTTTTGACTGTCACCTCCTTGTATATTTTTGAGGTGTTGTGCTATTTTCAGAAATATAATTTATCCTCTATGAGAAATTCAGGTTTCATGTGCCAAACTGCAAAACACCAACTTTTAAGAAGAGTATTAACAATATGGGTATTAAATTGTATATAATAGATTGCGTTTGGAATTAAGAAAACCAGATGGATGTAAAGACTTCAAATATAAGCTAAAAGTATTTTTACTAGATCATCCATTCTATACAATGAATGAGTTTCTTTTAGAGGGACAGTAGTAAGCATAGCAAAGACTCTATTCAGTAACTGAAATAGATAAAAATTGTTACTTGTAGTATCTCGCTTCGATCTGTGACTGACATAGTCATATGTAGGACTTTGATTTACTGTAATACCCTTAAAATCCTCTTGCTAAACTCATATGGTTAATAAAACTAGTATGATAGGCATTTTTTAAATCAAACTGCATTTTGATTTATGTATTGTATCTAATTGGATTATTTATCTGGGTTTGATAGTGTGTGTGTGTTACATTTCAATTGTAGGTTTAACCACGTAAAGAGTAATTATTTATTGTTGACAAATTCTAATTCTTTAGGTATTTGGGCAAAAGGATTTCAAGGATGATATATTTAATGATGTGACTTGTTCAAGTGTTACTATTGTAGCAATTGTGAATGCTAAATAAAATGAATGATTGAATGAATGAATGAATAAATAAATGAATTAATGAATGAAAAATATATAAACAGAAGAGTTAGACTAACGGAGCACTTACCAGAAATAAACACATAAAAATATATAAAATAATTATAAATTATTCACAAGTTCAGTCAATATATGTAGTGAGATAAGTTTCCTGTTCTGGAACATACCTGGATATGAGCGGTTGGGACACAGGTCCAGGACTGACTGGGTTGTGCTTTGTCTGCACATGCTTCTTGAGGTTGCTCTGTGTTGAGAATGTTGAACTGGGACAATAATTGCATTTGTATGGCCTCTCTGGAACATTCCTCATTGTGTAGTTCCCTGAACTGGAGCCAGGTGAAGTCTCTGAGCTTGATGAAGAACCCCCACCTTGAGATGCTGATGATGCAGATTGGCCTCCATGTTTGCGGAGCAAATGGCGATCACAGTTTGACTTAGTAGTGAAGAGCAGTGAGCAATGTGGACATTTGTAAGGTTTCTGTCCCGTATGTGTTAAGACATGACGCCTTAGGGATGAAGTCCATGGGAATGTCCGTGTACAATATGGACATGACACACGATTTGGTGCTAGTGAATATGCACTTTTCTTCTTCTCAACCCCAGTGTTGTTGGTGTTGATGTTGCCCACCTCACACTCTGACCTGTGGGATAATTGAACTGTCAGGATGTTTCATGAGATTAACAACATGCAGATGGTGATGAAAATCAAATATTTTGCATGTTTTATATTTTTTGTAATGCACACCAAAATATAATTTTCCTCAAAGTATTATTCTGGTATTTTGTCAAGTTCCTGCTTTCTATCATAAACAGAATAAAGAACACTGAAATATATTATAAAATTTAACATGAACTATACTAAACATGGATAACGGCTGAGATTTCTATAGTGGTGTAGAAGTATTGGTTTATACTTTGTGGGGTCATTCAAATCCTCATTCTGAATTCTTTAATGCACATGAGTAAATCTTTATTTCTTCTGATTCTTACAGTTAAATTAATTACATTTAATTAATTATTTTAATTACATGTTTACTTTAATCTGTCTTATTTATATGCTTCAATATTGTGATCAAAACATCTCATTGTGGATTGACATTCAATCACCGTTATCTTTAGTAAAGAAACAGCACTTCATAGATATCACACGCTTAAACAGAATTTAGCGCTTATTCCAAAGTAATTCCTGTGAGTGAATTTAAAAAATGTGTACATATTTCTCTGTAGATTATTGTATGATGTTGTCAGTAGCTCGGCTGTACAGCATTGAACTGAAAGATGACTGGCAAATGATGAAGAAGAAAGGAAGCAACTGTGGCCTAACTGGTTTACTAATCCAGAATTGGCCTGGAGATATTCAGGAGAGACATGAAAGACCATAGTCAGCATAGCTAGTGTCCTTGCCAATATGCAAACTGAATATCTCCAACTCCAAAATATGAGATTATAAGCATTACTGCTACACCAATCAACTTGGTAAAAATTATATTTTAATATCAAGGGTAGTATATTCATTTCTTGAGAATGCATGCTTCTTTTGTCTATTTCTATCCTTATGTATCATCATTTATCTTTGACAAATCACATGTATGGGTGTATTAATAAATTGTTATGCTATGTGTTACTGGTTAAAGTGTTGAATGGTTAGTGTGATGTTATAGTGTTTTATAGAAGAGTGTGGTAACAGATTCATCAGTGTAGTCCCAGTCCCAGAAACAGGAAGCTGTTCATTTAACGGCTTTGCTTTCTTACTCAAGAAGAAAATGTGTGATGATCAGTCATTAATTAACAATGAACACAGTTTCCGGGTGCTATTCCATTTAGATCCTGTACACTGTAACAAGGAAATAAACCATATCCTGGGTAAAAGGCAGGTGTATCAGCTAGTTTAGTACATATATGGATTACATGCAACAGAAAATCAGCCTATATCATCAACCAGATTTAACTGATCAGCTAATAAACATGCTTTATTTGCTCAATCTGCTCACTAGGAAGGAAAGAACTGAAGCAATCTTTACGGGTATCTACATACCAATTTTGAACAAGAAAGCTGATAAATTTAGATTAAGGTTTGAGGTTCATGAAATATAAGAATTATGTGGACTGATACAATCCAAGATGAAAATGTAACAATTCTTTTATATATTCAATACTAAATTTCATCAAAATCTATTAACTGTTTGGGTGACAAAATATGTTGATGCACAGACAGACACACATTACATCCACAGTAAGTATTCCTTTCATGTACCAAGATTAACAACATAAAAATCACCCAGTACATAATGCAATTTTTGTGTTATACAGTATATTTATATATTACTGCTGTCTACTATCTGAAGTATTTATCTTCATTTACATTTCATCTGGGTGCTGACAACTTTATCTCTCAGTCTGAAGGAATATAGCAGTAATATCAACATGTTAGATAAAACTGAGTGCCATTTTTCATATCAGGATAGGACAGTACTTCCTGCATTCCAATTTCACCTCACAAATCTCTCATACTACAATGTGTTCAAATACTACACAGTTAACAGTCTCTACCCAACATTAATTCAGCAAGAATGTTTGAACACATCATTATTACCATCATATCTTTAATTCAGAACTCAACTTAATAAAACCATCTGGTACAACTATCTCTATTTAATTAAACGGTCACTTCATCCTACATTTTTGGACAGAATTCTGCCATCTTATTTAATACCTCATTAAACACCACTGAAAATGTCAATGGTACAATATATAGGTATAAGATGAACATTGTAGAAAAAACACAGAAAGTTACATTGGTGCACACCTTACTTGAATCACATTACTTTATTGTTATTTGTTACATAAAGAATGTTGTAATTTCATTTGTAGGAAACCTTTAAATCAGTCTTGTTGCCATTTCTGTAATTGTTGGCTTACAAAAATATGCCATTACAGTTTCAGGTAAGTTTATAAGCTATCCTCATACCCAAGCTCATATTCCCTGCTCAAATATCTCATTATTTACTGAAGTCATGCATATTTTCTTTTACTGCTAGTGGGGTGGGACTAAGTCCCTTGTACAGTGGCCACTTCTGGCCTATTGTACCAGCCCCAGATGATAGGTGAGGGTGATTGTGGAGCAATTGGCGGAATGAAGATTGTCAGGGGAAAACGAAGTACTCGGAAAAAACCTGCCCCAGCGACACTTTGTCCACCACAAATGCCACTTGACCAGACCTGGGATCGGGAAGCCAGCGACTAAACACTTAAGTCATATGCAAGTTACTGCATGGTTGCCATGTTACTGTTTTACATTCCACAGAAAGCTGCCCCAATAATAGGTGCATACTATTTGAAGATCTAATGCCATCTATAATTTCTGAATATTACATTAACTGGGAGGAGTGGCATTCCCACCTCACACATATCTACCTTGTCCATGTTCCTATTATTCTGATTGTATTGTACTGTACTATACTATACTGCATTTAATTAGAAATATGAGGTTTGGGTAGCCCCCAATGGTATAACATTCACACAAACTTTTGTAAGAACTAGTCAACTGGTTCAAAATGTAGGGAGGGAGGAACATTCACACAGAGAACATGGATCTTATATAACCCTATCAGCCCATTTTACTTATTGGGGGGGGAGGAGATTTATAAGGTCCCTTTGCTGTCTGTGTGTCTGTGAATCTCCCCTTAATTTTATTGTGTTCTGTGTGGTTCATACTGTATCCAAGTAAAGCAAGCAATCTGTTTCTCCTAGAACTACTTACATGAAACAACACTGTAAAATTATTACATGCACACTTAACAGGCATGTCTTGAAGGAGGAACTGTAAATGAAATCATTAGGATCGCAATGACTATAATAAGCAAACATTAAATTCATGTACAACTCTTCAATGGCAGTTGATACGCATAATGTGGGAATATCTAACTGTGTACTGAACTTTTGTCTTCTGGGATTTAATGACATGTAGCCTGTTGAAAGTCAACTGATGCTTCAGAGGAACATGTCACCTCCATCATAAGGGTTGAAAGTTAAGGCAAGCAAGAAGCTAGCATGAAGCAGGCAGCAAGCATAGCTATGCTTCTCTCATCAGGCAAAGTATGAAAACTACTCTCCTGGACTCATGACATGAAGCTGGCTTCTATCCACAGGAGTAGAGGTAAGATCCATCTCATCAATGATACAATGGAAAATGTCTAAAACATATGTCAGTTAATTCTAATTAGTTTCTAGGTATGAAACTCAAAGGCACACCACTTGCTCAGTAATAGTTTTGTCTTTATTTTTGTTTTCAACATTTTTTTCTAATTTTGTATTGAAATACAGCGTTTTGGAATAAAAATGTCTGTGTCCATACAACACCCTCCTAATAACATTCCATCTAAGTGACTGATTTTCACAAAACTTAGGCTGAGCATCATGCCATCAGAGAGCACCATATCATGTTCCTTCTAAATTCATTGCCATAAATAATACAAATAGGGCAGCTGTATGAACTTGTGCAGTGAATCACAATGAACAGCAGAGAGTCCTGAAATTTTTAAAAATAAATACAGCAATACCTCGCATAGACAGGCTTTGATCAGTCCGCATTCAGTATAGTCCGGTTTGAAAATTTCAAAACAAAGTAAATTTTAATTTAGCAAAATAAAAATAAATTCTAAATAAAATAGTACACAAAATTATTTTTAATACATAAATGATCGGTTTTCTCCCTTTATACAGTCAAGTCTCTTTTTGTGCGGTTCATTTTTATGTGGTTTTTAAAGTTATGTGATACGGTACATATTTCAATTTTTCCTGGGGTTCCCCGTTGTATATGTACCTATGCTCAGGTCGTTCGTTCTTGAGCTCTGACAGCTATTGTTGGAGGAGGTGGGGAGAGCACTACTTTAACAGAATTTTGGAAGAGCTACAATATCAGAAACGTTATCAAAAATATAGGCAGAGCATGGCATGAATTAACGGCAAGCAATATGAGGGTAGTATGGAAACATATCATACCACATTGTGCAAATGATTTCATTGGTTTTGAAACTCATTTTGCTGAAGTCACTAGTAACATAGTGGAAACTGGACAGCAACTTGGTTTCAGCGAGTTAAATTCCGTCAACCTAATTGAGTGCATCAAAGCGAACACTTATGAACTAGATAATGAAACACTTATTAACATAGATGAACAATGGGCTTATGAAGAACGGGAGGACAACTTAGACAACGACGACTGTGTTGAAGTGCCTGCACGAGAATTAACAGCTGAACAACTATCAAAAATCATTGGAATGGTTGAAACCTTGTCAGAGCATATTATGGAAGTTGATCCCAATATTGAACGTAGCCTTACAATTCGCCGAACGATAAACACTGCAATTCGTTGCTACAAAGAAATGTATGAAGAGAAAAGGCCAAAGAAGAAAAATGTGCACACATCAATATTGCAATTATTAGAGAATAGAAAATGAATTCCAAAAAACATGAATTTTTTAAAATTATTTCTATATAGACATTTGAATTTATTAATCACGTTTTATTTATTGAAAAACGGAGATTTTTTTGGAACCAATTATAATTTTTGTATGTATTTAGTTCCTCGGTTAGTCCGGTTTCAAACAGTCCGGGATACTGGCGGAACCGATTACCCGGACTATGTGAGGTATTGCTGTATAGTTTTTGTAAGGTAATTCTTATCTAACAGTTTGTGATGATAGCATGTTATGAAAGTGACTCATCTACCAGTTAAAGAAACCAATTATTTTAGAAGCTGGTTCTGTTTCCATTTTCAAATACATGTAGCAATGCTTCTCTCTCTGTTGAGTCCATCAGATGGATCTAATACTTCAACAATAGTTCTAGTCAGAGTACATCTCCAGCTGTTGATCTCCAGAACTAACAATTTGTATCTCCTGCTACTGATCTTTGACATTTACAGTTCATATATCCTGATAAGAACTGTTGCTGATGTCCAGGGTCAGAGAATAATTAGCTCTATCTTACTGGCCCAAATGAGCAGGTTTCATACTTTTACCAAAATGAGACTAAAGAATCATTATGTTATTTTATATGGACAAGATCACACATACACACACCTATAAATTCTGTATGAAGACTTCTTTTATATGCTAAAAACTACAAACATGGAGATGCTGCAAATCTTTGCTATTGTATCAGGAAAATTTAATGTAACAGGAAAGGCCGTGTAATAGCTTCCTCAATACAGAGGCCTAGGTTCAATTCTTGGTTAGTCCAACAAAGATTTATGATAGTCAAAGTAGCACTGGGACAGGATCTTTGGTGATCATTTCATTTTCCCCTACCAGTCATCATTCACCTTTGCTCCTTCATACTAACAAATCACCAGGAGCCGGTACAACAGGCTTCAGGGGCCATAGTAACAAGGTACATTGCATATATGTTCACCCATCATGCAGTAATTCTCACAGCTGCCACAAGCAGCACTACCTCACACAGATGCCACTACAGAAGAGGCTACTGAATTTTTGATGAATTTACACTATACTCAAATGTATTTGAAGCCTATCGCGTAGCAATCCACTGTGTCACCTATGACGACTCCTGAATAAGAAAAATGCTGTTTTGATCTTGCACTGGGTTTACACAATCTCATATATTTGGAAGACTCATATAACCAGCACACCCCATCCCGAACGTTTTAGAGGAATATGGTGCCTCCATCTTCATGTCTGTGCTGAAGACAGAGGCAGCAGGGCCCTTCAAAATGTTGGCACCTACATGGTGTTTTTACCATCAGAGACAGCATGCAACACTGAGTCTCCCAATTCTGTTTCCAATGAAACCTGTACATTATTCTGAATTGCTCTTCTAAATACGTGTATATTCAGATCCATATATCTCTGTAGCTCGTCCATTTTGCGAAGACTACAACTTCTCAGATAGAAAGGAATTTCTGGTAATTCAATATTCTCATTGATAGAAGAGAAAAAGCTGCATATCCTTTGCACCTAGAATACAGTACAACTAATAGTACCCTACTAGTTACATTCATCAATATAGAAAATGATGGCAAGAAAAATTAATCCAAATAAGGTACAGTGGCTCCAAACAGTGTGACCATCTTACATACATCATGAGGTCGCGCCATAACTCAAGCATTTAGTCGCTGGCTTCCCACTGCGGCGGCCCGGGTTCGATCCCGGGTCCGGTCAAGTGAGATTTGTGGTGGACAATGTGGCGCTGGGGTGGGTTTTCTCCGAGTACTTCGGTTTCCCTTGCCAATCTTCATTACACCAAATTCTCCATCATCATAATCGCCCGGGGCAGCTACAATAGGCCAATCAGTGGCCGCAATGCCGAGTGGACCCAACTGGACTCCACCCCCACTAGCGAATACAAACATTATACTACCATGAGACCCAACGGCATTGTGTTAATTAAGAATCCCCCTCTATAGCTGTGAAGGAGGTTTCATGATTAATCAATACATTTGAGATATGAGAGGTTCCTGTGGTGGTTAATACTGAGCCTGTGATTGTCTTTGATGTGACACTGCATAGTATGACATTGTTCCTCACATTTTAGTGGTAGGTGCTCCCTCTGCAAACCGCAGTAGTAAAAATTAACGTCATTTTGAAGTCATGTGAAATAATGTCTTATACGTGTGAGACCTGACTAAAGATTATTAAACTTAAATCATCACAGATCAATTTGTGGCATTCTTGCCACCAACACAACAATAAAAATAGATCAAATAAATCGTTTATATTGATTTTATTCAATAACTGCTCTATGTTTTGGTCTACATTTGGAACCATCTTCAGGGAGTTTCATTAAATATCTCTCATGTTATTGAAATATTCTAATATGGATCCACATTAATGTTAAACATTATAATCATATAACATATGTAATTATTGTGAAGTTGTAAAAATATTTCTAATTTTAAAAATTTTAAATTCTCGGCATTATGTTGCAAAATTCTGTTATTTTGTCGCACATTGTAAGTGGTGTGATATCATCTGGGGTTCGCTGTTGTATTATCTGGAAGTGAACTACCGTGTGTATTACTATCTGAGTTTTTAGGATATATGTATATTATATCTCGTGGAATAAATGAATTACTTACATGTTCTGGAGATATTCACGTGTAATGTTGCTATTAATTTTGTCTTGTCTTCCTTCATATGACACTGTGACTGAGTTTTCTGTGAATGAAAGTGGGTGAAATTATTGGTTACTGCATTTGGTTAAATTTTTAATTATATCTCGTTTAATGTTGTGCTCTTTTAAAGCTCCTATTCAATGGGTACCGGGGGCTCTTTCCCCAGCGGTAAAGCAGTCGAGGCATGAAGCTGACCACTCACCTCCAACCAGTGCTGAGGTCAAGATAATCTGGATCTATACATCCACTCCCCGATACGCCTTCATGGAATGGTGTTTAATTAATTAAGCACACGGACAACTTCACCTTACATTTTAATTCTAAAATTTCTAATTTGGAGTACATTATTAGTACTTATTTTCTTTGGAGTGTGCTATGTACTTATCATGTGGGCGTTTGTTTTGGTGTCATACCTGTTCCTGGTTTTGATGTGGACTGGCTAGAGTTTATGTTGTTCTGGGTATGTAGCTTAGGCTATGTGATGTTCCGAGGGAAGGGGGTAGTTGTGTAATGATGGGGGCCAGGGTGGACCTGTGATGCAGGAGGGGGTTTTCTGAATGTGTATTATTATAATGAGTAAGAGTATATTCTATTATGAGGTAAAATATAGGGTTGCGTATATCTGCTTTTAGCTTCTGTCTACTCAAATAGTATATACTGTCCAGCATAGGGGCATATGCATGACGAAAATAACGGGTTTTAGATCAGGTGATTGGATTTATTGGCACTTCGGTTACAGGTTCACTTAATAACACTCAATTATAGCGCTGTCGCTATTCTACACACGTTGCACACGCACTTGGATTTTCCGTTTTGGCTAGTCGTTTTCTGGCAAAGGATCTGATCAGAAACTATCACTTCAAATTACTGTGAAATCTTCATGATATTTCGTCTTCAATCACTCTGTAATCCTCTGTCCTAACCTGTACTCAACCGCCATACTAATCTAAGCTATGAAACGGTCCTCGTTATATAGGTTTCGCGCAGACCACACAGAAAACAAGTCACGTGAGTGCCATCTCGCCCGTCCATTGGTGCGCTGACTGCTGACTAGCAACGAGTTACAACATTTGTCCTATTGCTGCGTGCGTGTATCGCGTGGTGTTTTTGAGCCGCTGTCTAGCAATGCTTTGAGCAAATCCATTACAATATGATAGAGTTAAAGTGCTTTAATAAATCGGCCTTCTTTTTTGTTTGTATTACTTTCATTGTCTCCTCGATTGTACTATATGTATGTATGTGCATATGCATTGCAAATCAGCAATCTTATAATTAAACAGCAATAAAATAAAAGACCTTAACATTTAGCGAGATATAATTAAAAATTTAACCCAATATGAAGACCAATAATTTCACTCACTTTCATTCACAGAAAACTCAATCACAGTGTCATATTAAGGAAGACAAGACAAAATAATAATAAAATTGTTCTTGAATATCTCAAGAACATGTAATTAATTCATTTATAATATACATATACCACAAAAACTCAGATACACACGGTATTTCACTTCCAGATAATACAACAGCGAACCCCGGATGATACCACTTACAATGTGCGACAAAACAACAGAATTTTGCAACATAATGATGACAGAATTTTAAATTTTATAAAATTATAAATATTTTTACAACTTCGTAATAATTACATGTATTATATTATTATAATGCCTGACACTAATATTGATCCACATTAGAATATTTCAATAACATGAGACATATTTGATAAAACTGCCTGAAGATGGTCTCAAATGTAGACTGAAATGTGTAACAATTGTTAAATAAAACCAATGTAAATAATTTGACTGGTTTATTTTCAGTGTTGCGTTGACACCCAGAATACCATAAATAACGATACACAACAGGATATAAACAGTAAAGATCACAGATGAAGCAGTACATATTTCACTGTGTATGAAATTCTGGAGAACTTAATTGTAATTGAACTCACTTGTTTTCGTCGCTGCCTGAATTGTTGCCTTCACTATTGCTGCCTGTGAAAAGGCCTTCTTCATCTTCCTCACTCCCCTCCAGAGCATCTTCACCATCCTGTGTACCCCGAAAGTAACGCTGAAATGCTTGAGTATGAGTTGTTGCATTGTCCAGAAGTCGTGAGACACTCGCAAGATCAACATCCTTTGCACTGCCCATCACTCCTACCCTACTGCTGCCCTCACTGAATTTATCTTTGGTTTCTTCTTTTGATTGCCCTCTTTCTGTAGCTTCTTCTTCAACATCTTTTTCCTCATCAATCACTAATTCATTTTCTTCATCATTATCCTCATCTACATCTTTCTTAGCCTCTTCTAGACTTCTATCAGTCATGTCAGTCCCACTTATCGTAGGAACAGGGTGATTCAATTTTGATTTCAATTGTTGAGCTATAGCGAGTTTAACTTCTTCCGATATAAATGCCTTACTATAATTATTATTGTTATTGTTATTATTGTTAATTATTATACTACAATTATCTTTGGTTTTGTGGACAATTTCTACTGAAGTTGTATCAGTGGTAATCTCATCCTTTATCTTTGGTACTATTACCTGATGTTGAATATCTTGTTCTCCTCTGTCAGGATGGAAATTATCTTGAACGAAATTAGAGATCTGATAATTGTTTGATGGTTCTGGAACACTAATGACTGTAGGTAACTGCCGTGTTAATATGTTATTCTTTGACTCAGTACTGAGGCTGTCAGTGTCTGAATGTATATTCTTCCGTGGCACATCTTGATGGTTAGAGACACTGAGGTTCATTGTCAGGCTGGTGGGGATTGTGTGACTTCTCCTTCCAGGACCAGAAGTCCCCACATTATTCCTCTGTCTTTGTGTCCAGTACTGAGGATGCTGCTGTTTTATGTGACGTTCCATGTTTGAACGGAGAGTGAAACGTGCTGAGCAATGTTCACAAGCAAATGGGCGCTCTGTTCTGTACCTTCTCTGCTTCTGTTTAGGCATGAGGACTCCATTCTTAATTACCATCTTTACAGATGAGTTGTCCCGTTCCCTAGCTGACTTTGGTGCCACCTTTGTAATAGGTGGTGTCTTACTAACGCCACTGCCTGAGGCAGGTTTGTCAAACTCCTTAGTCGATATCATTTGAGACTGTCTGGTTTCCTCAACTTTTACATCACCATAACCCATTTTCACATCAGGTTTTCCTCTTGAATAGTCTGAAAATGTTTGGCTGTGGATTGCTTGAAGCCGTTCAGCTGTTGAAGCCATCATAGAATCAAAAATTGTTCCACCAGAGAGCTGTAAATTGTTGATCAACTCCTTGTGAAGACGTGATCTAAACTCCTCCATATTAGAACTCTGTAGCAGTGTGGGAGTGTGTGACATGAAGTAAGGATGTAAGGTAAATGGAGGCTGTGCTTGATGGAACGGGAAGTTACTGTTGTTCATATAAAGGTGGCTCAGCTGTGGATTTCCGAAGAATGCTGCAGGGTTCATATCCAGCTTTGGCACAGTGGTGGGACTTTGGCTGTTTTCATGAGGTGACATGGCAGTGCCCCTGCTAGAAGTAGCCATATGCTGCGCTATGGAGCCATGCTGGTGACTGCCTGTGCTGTCATTCTTATGACTTATTTCAGACTTGGGTACAAAAATTATGGAGGGAGATCTTCTGTTATTATTACTGAATGCACTGCTATGAGTTTTTCTGGATAAGTCTTGAGGTTCTGCATTGTCTGTTTCTTTGGTAGGAGTTGCTGAGAAGTTCTTTCTGTAAGGATCCCTTTTTTTACTCAAATCCAGTGCATCCATACTGAGATCTAAGGGAGAATCAACATCTCTTACTGGTGATGGAAAGGAGCCTATGGAATGTCGTGCTGGTGTCATTTCTGTGGTTTCTTTGTTTGAAAATCTTTGGTTTTCAGCTGTAGGTAGCTTAGGAAAAGTATTATTGTTATTTTTGGTTAAAGTGACTAGGGCTTCAATGCTTGAAATTTTGTCATTGCGTTCTCTTTCCTTATCCAAACCACCACCATGACTCATCTCTTGACCTTCCACATTTTCACCATCCCTCACGCTATTTGTCATCGTTGCGGCTTCTTGGGTCTTCTCCCATGGACGAGCCTGTTTTATACTTATCAGATGTTGCTCTGTGTTTTGGTGTGGTGACTGGGTTCGTGTAGATTCATGTTTGATCTCTTCATATTTTTGTACTGTCATCAACTTATCATCAGGGGAATAACATCTTTTGCGTTCATCCAAGGGATGCTGATAACTTAAGGAACGTTCCAAAGTGTTCAGATCTTCCCGGGAAGATGAGTGCTGATTATTAAAAACTAAAGACCTTTTCACATCTTCCCGAGCCTGCAATTTTGCTTGAAGATCAGGATCATTAGTTGGGTCTTCAGATGGATGATAAATGATGGATTTCTTTACATCCTCTCTTGATAATTTGGAATGTCTGTTTCTCAAATGTCTCTCACAGTTAGCTTTTGTTGTGAAGGCATAGTTACAGAGAGCACATTCATAGGGACGATCTCCATTGTGGGTTCTCATGTGACGGACTAAAGTTGCCTTGTCAGAGTTAGTGTAAGGACACATGTTACAGCGAAATATTCCAACACTTCCTGTGATATGTGATCGGTTGTGACCCTTGAGAGCTCGAAGATTTGGAAATACAGCTGTACAGAGTCTACAAGGAAATTCTCCCTTCAACTTCATACGTCTAAATTCAGCTGCAAAGCAGTCTTGCTGTTCTTCCTCACCAGCTACTGAATCAAATCTAACCCCACAATCTGCAGTTATCATGCTAGCCTGAGGGGGTGATTTAGACAGATCTTGGATCAGTCCCCCAGCAGCTGTCACAGATATAATGCTCTGGATGTCCGCTAAATCTTTCCCACTCTCTCCGCTCCTGTCCCCTGTCTCGTTTCTTTCCCCATTCGATGGGCTGTTGTACACATCTTCCCTTCTGGGATGGTTGTGTTCAACAGATCCTGACGGGGATGAAGAAACTGATTTGTTCTGCAAATCCAGAACAGCAAAGAAGTCTTCACGCTTGCGTTCTTCGATCTCTTCTTCTGATTCAGAGCTTCTGCCAGTTACAGAAGCTCTCCTTCGGTTGCTGCTGAGGTCTGTGGGTGTGTCAATGTTACAAATGCGATCCCCCTGGTTTTCATTGCATTGACCACGACTGTCCCTCTGGTGGATGTTTAAGGCGCTTGCACAAGGGAAAGCATGACCACACTTGTTGCACTGAAACTTGATGGCACTGGATGGCTTATGCAAACTCTTCTCACAGACGGCAACAGCAATGTGAGGAAACTTTTTGCTTGAAAAATCCACAAAAGTTAGGTCATTGAAACCAAGCACAGTTGGACTATGCTGCTGTTGTGAACTGTTCTTCAATCCTTTGCCGACTTTGCCATGTTGAGCCATGTGGCGGTGAAGGTTAAGTGCCCTGTTGTTCTTAAACGTCTGGTCACAAACATGGCAGCGGATCTGATACTCCGGGTGGGTTTCTTCCATGTGTGTCTCTAGAATGTTCAGTGACACAAAGTCCTCTCTGTTACAAACAGGACAATGAAGGCTTTGCTCTGGTGAACATTCCGGTGTATCTGGATGGCTACTTGGTGTGGCTTTAATCCTTCTTCTGCTTGCAGATTCACCACTTTCTGTAGCATCTGAAGGAAAAAGTTCAGGCAATTTCCGTTTATTCCCATTTTCACTGCCATTCGGTGACTGGTATGACAATGGCGATGAAGAACCTGAGGATTTTGTTTCAGTTGGTGACGGGGTATGGTTGCCAACTCTACGTTTTTTAGCAATGTTATTGCCAGGTTGAGGAGAAGAGTGAGGACTCCTCTTGCTGTTGCAAGAACCTCCACTGTCAGTGCTACCGTCACTCTCATAGTTGTTAGTGTTCTCTGACTTGGAAACTTGGCCGTTGTGGGTCCTCATGTGCCGATGCATGTTGCCGTTCGTGGTGAAGGCAACTCCGCAAATCAAACATTTGAACGGCCGTTCCCCCGAGTGCACGAGAACATGGCGGTCCAACGAGCTGGAGGAGCTCAGTGCCTTATGACAGATCTTGCACGTGAAGGTCTTCAGACAATCAACAGGAAGGTTCACATCATCATTGTTGTGAGAGCGAATGTGAAGGGTGAAGTCGTGCTGTGAACTAAGAACCGTGTCGCAGATCGGGCACAGGAACTTCATCTCCGAGTCTCCACTCTCAGCATTGCAGTCCTCGGCGTCTGGATCGTCGTCGCTTCCTGTCCGCGTCCTGGAGTCCGAATTCACCTGACTGTTCTCTCGAGATTCATCTCTATCTGTAATGTTGTCGGAGGCCGAGCAGTCATTATCGTTGCTTCCGTCGCTTTTGCTATCAGGATTCTTATTGCTACACGTTTTTTCATTCGTTGTATCGCATTCATGGTCATCTTCCACTTCGTTGGCTGTCTTCGTTGTACGTCGAGAGTCTTCGTGATTTTTGGTATCGGTCTGAGATGCTTCGTGATGAATCTCAGCATCGAAGTTTGTGTTGGCTATAGAGTGCGTGGCGGAGTCTGTTGAAAGAGAATAATACAATGGATTATCATCTAAATATATTAAGGTCTCTCAAGTTGAAGTTTCCTAAAACATTTGTACGATTCAGGGCACCTTGGATAGGCAGTCTTACAGAAGAAGGGTCTTTTGCGTGCAGTATGGAAATTTTTGTTCCCATCATGCACTTGGAACAGAATCTTGAACTTTCTAATGATGATGATGATAATAATAAATATAAAAATGGCATATTCTCAAAGATGTTTCAGGCGTAGTTTACAAATATTTATGTTAAGTCGCAGCTTACATTTCAAGTCTGCAATTTATTTGGTCATGTGAATTGGACTGTCAACACAACATAAAGAAGGATACATTCAACGTGGAGACAAAATGATGTTATGGTGTCTCTAATTCATTTTATTGATGACTTAAATTAAGTTACTTGAATTTAATTGGCCTAACATGGATTCATATTATGTAATTTTTGTAGTTGTGATTATCAGCGGTAGCATAGTTGGTTGAGGTACTATATTGCAAGCCGAAAGGTCTCGGGTTCGACTACCGATGAGGTCTTTGGATTATTTTTTACAATTTCCTTAATCTCTGGGTTCGACTCAGTTTCTAACAGAAATGAGTACCAAGAATTTTCCTGGGGGTAAATGGCGGCCGGCGCGTGAGGCTGACAACCTCACCGCAATCTGTGAGCCGATTATCTGTAAGATGTGGGAGCCTCGACGCCTCACAAACCTATGGGCCTTCACTACCTGTTAACAGGGACACCTTTACCTTTACATTTTAAAGAATGTAAATATTATGGAAGCAAGTTAAATCGAAGTAAACTTGTCGTTAAAGGTTAAAACTAATATGTAGGGATTAACAAATATTGATTGTTAATATAATACTGTGACACGTTACAATACGTTCTAAAACTTGTATGAGAGTTAAAATGCGAGTTACATCTCATCGTGTTAAATGTTTATTTTAATAAATTCCTAATAAATCATTTTAAAGTATGATACAATTAAACTCAACTTTATTGGCGTTGGGCCATGCCATATCTCTTGCGGTTAATCGCTGGCTTTCCACCGCGGCGGCCCGGGTTCGATCCCGGGTCTAGTCAAGTGGGATTTGTGGTGGACAAAGTGGCGCTGGGGCGGCTTTCCTCCGAGTACTTCGGTTTCCTCTGCCAATCTTCATTCCACCAAATTCTCCATCATCACAATCACCCGGGGCAAGCTACAACAGGCCACTCAGTGGCCGCTGTGCCAGTGGACCCAGTTTGACTCCACACCCCACTAAGCGATTTTTTTTTATTTCTCTCCTTTACTGTACAATCTGTAAGTCAATGTGCTGACTGGTGTACAAAAGCGATTTTAAAGAAAAAAATCATTGGCGTTGACTTGGGATCGTGGATGTTATAGGAAACATGTAGTATAGACCTGATTACAACAAACGAGTAAGAAGACAACACATCTACTTTGTCTCCGCCTTTATGTTGAGTAGATGGTCCAATTCGCATAACTATTAAATACACAACAGGATGCGATCCATAAAGTTTATAAATGCGATTTATTTCTTTAAAGTACTTAGAGCCTCGATTAGCATGCAGATTTTAATGAACAGTCAATTATGACGTATAATCGTCCATAAGGAGACAACTGGCTTCTTCCATTGTTGCGCACTATGAGTCTAACAATTGCATACCTTGAACTGAAATTCCAAATATAGCGCTAACGTACACCCTGAAGATTGAACCGTAAGGCGTTACGCGTGGCCTCTTAAGAGGGTGAGATACGCTTGGCACATCGTCAAACATCCAAAGTTTCTAGAAACGTCCTGACAACATTTTCCTTTCCCCCAAGCATGTATAAATAAATTCTGTTTAAAATTTAAAAAGTCTGTTATATTGTATTCATAACACAATAATATTCAGCCTAAGAAAAATTAATTCGCCACTGAGAGAGGGTATATCGTGTCTCTTTCCAAGACTAGGAAGTAAGTCGACTGGAAAAACGGTTCAGAAACGCAGAGTGAAATCATGTCAAGTCGGTTCCTTATCCCTATAACAGGTTAAAAAATGAAGTCCATGAACGAAATAATTATAGCGCGTTCCTTCATCTCGGAAACCATAAGATTTACTAAGAAGTTTACTGATTGCAAAATATGTACCTCATTTTTCTCTACAATTTGTGTTGATAACATACTCGCTCCGATAAATATTTGCTGATTTGTGCTCCAAACGCAATGGGAAACACGTGCAGGTTTTCATGTAGTGTCTGTTATTGTTGTGAGATTTTAAACAAAACTGGAATTTAATAACACATTTTAGAAAAACTCCCCAATATCACATTTTATGATAACGTCTCTTGAGCCTACAAGCTGTCAGGTGTGATTAGACGCAGAATGTGGAGTGGCTATTAAATTAGCATGGCAGCTTAAAGCAGGAACAGTGGAAAAGTTGGTGGCCACCGCTAGACAATGGCGAGGTAAACACTTTCGCAGCAACCCGCTGAGGCTATATATAGCGAGGACTAACGGGAAAAGTTTGTGATTCACAGAGTCGGCGGCTAGTGGTAGTGGCTTATAAGTGAGCAGTGGCAGTTCGTGGTTGACCGCAGCCGCTATCTAGCAACGACTAGTGACAACAGGAGAGCAAACAAGACTTTTTGGTCCTGTAGCTGCAGTGATCTACAGGGTGTGTAAATTACTGAGACCCCTATAATCACTTGTAGTTGCGAGTTATGAGCGTTCAATAAATTCAATTATCAATCCAAACCCCATGTCTAAGCACCAATGTGTGACGATAACCGTTTCAGTGGTTCTTGAGTGTGCATACTGTCACGTGTCAGTGTGAATTAGCTGTTGAATTTACTGGATGATTATGGCTCGGAACTACAAATAATTGCAACATCCTCACTAATCTACACTCTACAAGCAGCTACAGCTGCAAATGACTGCTATTTCTTTTCTACTCGTTACTTGGTTAAAAAAAATAAAGCTGTCCTTGTGCTTGACAAATTCAGCACCATGCCGTGAAGACGTATGGGGGAACGGAGGTATAGCTAAACCATTCCTGACCTCGGCACGAGATGCAAGTGAATGGTCATCTTCACGCCCCGGCCGCTTTTCCCCGGGGAAATCGCCTGGGTATCCACTTGACAGGAACCCAGGTGGGCCCCAGAGACGGTCTGGGCGCTATCAAGAAGAGAAATATTGTATCCATTCCGAGAATCGAACCCCGCATTCGTTGCTTGATAGTGGCTTCTAACAGTGGAGACTGCTTTTACTGCTTATGTGCTCAACGGCTCCTATCCTCGCCGGCTAGCGAATGCCTGCTAACCGACTGCGACTGCCGACTTGCTGTCCTTAGCAGAGCAGTAAATTTCTGATGATCTTTGCCAGCACAGTCATTCTTGGTTTTGGGCCCCGTCGGGACCCCATGTCCAAAATTTGTTCTTTCCAAGGTCACTTATGTCTTTTTAATTGGCCCCTTCTTCTTGTTGAACCGTAATTCAGTATGAGTTTCCCCGAGCTCACAAGCATCCAGAGAGGAGCAATTATACACTATCGATATCATATGCATCTGCCACATAACTGTAATAATGTACAAGATGATTTACGGAGGACCTCTGTCAATACAGGCTTGTGTAATCGGTTATGCGTTAGCTTATTCTGCCACTCTGAAACGGCAATCACTTGAACAGTCGTAGGCTTGGCCGCCACCAAGTTTAAGCCACTTTATACCTCTTGTGCGTGGCTTTTCTTTGTCAAATTGCATGTAAATTTGCATTTATATGACGTTGGATACCTTGTACCTGTTCCCTGTATAATTTACTTATGTAATTGTACACGTAATGAATCTTGAAAGGCAGCTGCAAATCGCGGACCTGTGTTCCCTTGGGCAGGTTGCCACTGTCGCGGGGGTCTCTGATCTTCTGTAGACGCTGCAGTTCCCAGATAACAGAGGAAGGAAATAGTATTGAGCTAATTAGGGTTCTATGAATAATAATAATAATTTTAATATTAGCGCTTGAGCGCTTAAACACAGATAACAGCTTTTAACAAATTTATCCGCCTTTGTGCAAAATTTAAAGAAGGGGGAGGCTTCTCTCAACGAGGAAACTTTCAGCTGTGATCCGATTGCAGTGTCCCGGAAGAATTTCCTGCTCAAGACACATTTTTAGTTCTCTCTGGAGACTGAATAAGTTGGACTCCGAATTCCGACTGGCGTATCTTTGCCCAGACCGTCATCTTTCCTTTCGCTGCGCTTCCTTCGATGCTCGGCTCCGCATTTTCCGTTTGCATGGCCCTCATTGGCACGAAGAAGTTACTCGTTGCTATCGGACGTGTTTGTTTGATAAACCGGAAGTGTACTCTTCTTCGCGGTGCAGTTCACATGTTCAGAACTGCTGTCCCACTCTCTCGCTGCTCGCCTGAAGACTGTTTCAGTTCCCTCTTTTTCGCTGCACACACGTGTAGTCCGCCTCGCCATCCTGATACGTGTACTTGCAGAGGAAGCACTTCTCTCTTTCGGCCATGTCCGCCAGTTTTCTTTTTTTTCCCATTGGCTCCATTGTCATTCATCCTGGACGAGTTCTGAACTAACTGCTCTGTTTTAACTACAGCCGTTCGAACTAAGTCTAATTTTTTTTTAGTACGCGTGGTCCGCAATTATGTTTCGTATCATGTTTCGTACGCGGCAGCGTAGTGGTTAAGGTACTATGCTACAAGCCAGAAGGTCGCGGGTTCAAGTCCCGATGGGGTCATTGGATTTTTTTTTCAATTGACCTAAGCCTCTAACAAAAATGAGTACCAGGAATTAATTAAATAATTTTCCTGGGGACTGAAGCGCGGCCGGCGCGTAAGGCTGACAAACTTACCGCCATCTTTGAGCCGATTTTCAAGGTAATGTGGGACCCTTAACGTCTCACAACCCTATGGACCATCACGGCCTGTTACAGGGATAGCTTTACTTTACTTATCATTTGCCAAACGCAATTAGTACTACCCGCCACCGTCTTTCACGCAGAGCCACCTTCACATGCGCACAAACACGCGCACATTGGCTTAACTTACTGAATGCTTATTAGGGGTACCTATATATAGTTATAAATAGGTCAGAGATGGATATAAAACGTGAAACATGTGATATCCGAAGCTGGGAGAGACATTTATCTCTCAACATATCCTCCACCAACTCTAATACATTTGTCCCATCACTTTACCAGTGCGTCGAAACCCGCAGCATAGAAATCCTTCCACTGTTGTCTTCCTCACTTCCGCACCTCCGTTTCAACCCCTTCGTCATCACCGAAACGCTTGAGACCAATTCTGAACCGCTTTATGCGACAACACTTTCCACCATAAAACGGAATAATTTCTTTATGAATGTCATTTGCATTGAGTCCTTTTGCCCATAAAAAACGAACAAAATAATGCTGCTCCTTATTAGTACAGTCATCAAGCACGGTCACCATTTTGACTACTGAAACTTACCTCTCAACTTGCGCATGTGCCTGCTACCTGCTACATATAAAATCTATTACGTCCATTACAGCTGTTTCACTTCCATTTGTTACCTATTTACTGACTCTTCCTCGTAGAACTTCCACTAATTTACCCACTCTACAAATATTTTGCCTACAACATACTCTGTCTCCTCACTATACGTTGTTTTGTGACGGTTCCTGACAACATGGATTCCTCTGATTCCATGCTTCTCAACTGTTTCCGAGCCTTGCCTAGCAATGACCGGCTATTCTGGCTCCATTGTTCCGGCTTCCAGGCGTCGTGTCACAGTATGAACACAGAGACACACATGGCGAAGTTAATGGCACATTGTTAAACTTTTCGTTATAAACACGCCTAAAAATCCTTTCTCTTAAATCACAGTTGTCTCACCCATATTTCTGCTGCCAGTTCTAGTGTGGCCTATACTTCTGTCATGGTGGCTAATCCCGTTTATTACCTGAACTAAAGAATTATACACCGTAAGCATTGGCCCAAAGCGAGGGTTTTGTTTCTGGAGAATGATGCATTAAGTAAATCCACACTGGACAGGATGAACGCATAATCGCGGCTGCAACAGAGCTACCGTTAACGCCTAGATACGAACACTTCACACACACAGCCTACGATACTGCTTCAAGCTATGAAAAGCAACAGAGTTTGCATGTTAGATCGCTAGCCTGTACATATTTCGAGCGCAGTAAGACTTGCGTGTCTTGATAACTCCTTGAGCCATACTTTGCAGGGCTGATGTATTGTTACGGTGATCTCTCAGGATGAGTCATCATCAAACAGTGAAGTAGATCGCTAATTCATCATGGGAAGTTCTTCTATGGCGCAACAGCCCGATGTCGGGCCTTGGCCTCCCTTATCAAGCCCCTCCATTCCTCTCTATCCTGCGCCGCTCTCTTCCAGTTCCTTACGCCCATTAACTTCTTTGCATCTTCTTCCACCGCATCAATCCATCTAGTTCTTGGTTTCCCAGCACGTCTCCTACCACCTATTGTATTGTATAAAATTTTCTTTGGGATATGCTCCTTGGCCATTCTCTGCACATGCCCAGCCCATTGCAATCTTTTAAGCTTTATCGTCACCGAGATCTCTGGCTCCTTATATAATTTGTATAACTCTTTATTATATCTTATTCTCCATATCCCATTCTCCTTTATTGGTCCATAAATTCGTCTTAGGATTTTCCTCTCGAAAGAATTGATGACTGATTCTTCTTTCTTGTTTAGCGTCCAACCCTCACATCCATAATAAAGCACCGGTTTTATCATTGTTTTATATATTTTATTGAGGGTTTTCACATTCCATGTACCTAGAGAGTAGTCCATATTCTTTGCCAAAAGTCGTCTTCCATTCTGTTGAGGTTTCCGAGGCTTGATTCCAGGTTTCGAGACATTTATACTTTTTTACGGTGAGAGGTCGTCAGCCTCTCGCCCAACCCACAACCTGGAGGGCTAGGTATCTCTTTTAGTCTGGGCCATCACCTTCGACCTGTCCGGCATGGGTGACCCTACCAGTAGCTATGCTACCGCCGGCATAGCTCTCAGGGTCATCTGACCACGCAAGCCCCTCCACTACGTCAAAGTAGAGACACCATCGGATCATGGGAAGTTACTAGATCCTATTTTCAACACACAATAGGACCCGAAATCGTCATACTGGATCACGCCGTAAGGTTAACCTTTCAACGTACGAGGTATCCTCAAAGAGGTTTCGGACAGTCAGGAGGAGGTAAAACCTTATCTCGACATTACAATGACTGAACGTAATATTTCAGGTTCGTGGTGGGGGGCGCTTTCAGAAAACAGTTGTTAGCATTTGCTTTTGCGGGTATAAACAAAACCGCGTTTGAAAATAGTTCACTTTAAATGTTTATACTCGTCTCCTTGCATAATCTCCAGACATACAAATACCATACGAATTGAATAAAATTTAATAACGTAAATAATTCAAATCCCAAGGACCATTTCAGAGAAGAATCTTAACGAGTTTAACTCCAGGGCGCGTAATATCAGCAAAGGTATTTTTTAGAATGTCTTTTCCCGCTCATGGTCAAAGCCGGGTCTTCTTGTATATAAATACCGTTTTGTCATAAATGGTCTAATTGTATGGCCTTAGGCTCGAGTCTTGGAACAATATGGGGGACTGAATACGGACACAATTCCAGTAAATAAAGTATCATATATTTAGCTATAATTATAGAAAATAATCAGTCAAGAATTTCATCACAATTGGACGATTAAAAGTAAAATTATCCCTGTAACAGGTCGTGGAGGCCCATAGGGTTGTGAGATGTTGAGGTTCCCACATTTTGTAGACAATCGGCTCATATATAGCGGCAAGGCTGTCAGCCTTACGCGTCGGCCGCCCTTTACGCAAGAATATTCCAAGAATATTCCTGGTATTAATTTTTGTTAGAGGCTGGGTCGACCCCAGGGCCATAGTGAGGCTGGAAGGATTAGGTCAATTGAAAAAAATCCAATGACCTCATCGGGCCCTGAACCCGCGAACTTCCGGCTTGTAGCATAGTGCCCCAACCAACTAGGCTACCGAGGCCGCGCCGTGGCTCAAGCGGTTAGTCGCTGGCTTCCCACCTCGGCGGCCGGGGTGCGATCCCGGGTCTGGTCAAGTGGGATTTGTGGTGGACAAAGTGGTGCTTGGGCAGGTTTTCTCCGAGTACTTCGGTTTCCCCTGCCAATCTTCATTCACCAATTGCTCCACAATCACCCTCACCTATCATCTGCGGCTGGTACAATAGGCCAGAAGTGGCCGCAGTACAAGGGACTTAGTCCCACCCCACTAGCAATAAAAAAAACTGGGCTACCGCGTGCCCCCCCCCAATTGGACGATTAACGGTTTTATATTCTATTAACCTTTTCATGACTTCGGCGGTAATTTATTACGACACAATTGGCATGACTGTTGTGAAAACAATTTGTTTCGCCGGCTAGACAAGACTTTAAACTGAGCCAAAGGATCGTTTCAAATCTTCTATCACTTCTTTGTTACTAATACAACACGCTCCTTTCACAAAATGACAAAGTCTCATTGAAGTTAATAGCAAGCCAGCACACACAAATCCCGCCACGCCAATGTATCATTCGGGCTCTAAAAATCCTCAGGTTTACGTAAACTGATTCATTCCATATGAAAGCCGCTCTCCAGTCTCGTCTCTACCGCTTAGGTTAAAGACGTTTTCACGGCTACTGCTGCACATGCGTGCTTCTGCGCACTATCGTTCAAGAAAAAAAAAACCTTAAAATAATGTTCCTTATCTTTTCACAGATCCTGTGATTGCGGTTATAGCCCTTCAACTTCCTAATTAGGAAACGTCATACAAATACCCAGACGCCTCATCTTGAGAGACCGAGGATGTGGTACACAGTTTCACCTTATTTCCACCAGAGGGATTCAAGAAAGTCAGTCCATATGTGACGGCCATTTTCTTAAAAAGAAGAGAAAAGATAAACACAGCGTGGAAAGCCCACATAGACATTCTTTACTCTAATATAAAGTCCTATGTGAAGGTTAGGTTACAGGTACATGACATGAGCTGAGTCAGAAAATAGACTAGGCCTATTATCTGTTTACATTTCCACTTGCTTCACCCTCTTAGATTAACATTTTGCACGATACGATTACAATGATCTATACGTATATGGGTCTCAAACCCTTCGATGGACCTTGGCCGCTTTTCAGTTTCTTAATCCTATACACAGACGGTAGGACCTCTTTGACGGGGGATAGCCCCGTCGCAAGGCCGCTACTACATAAGACAACACATACAATAAACAAACACAGACATCCATGCCTCGAGTTCGATTCGAACTCACGACCCCCAGTGTCCGAACGGGCAAAGACAAATTCATGCCTTAAGCCGCGAGGTCACTGTGATCGGTAATTACAAAGATCAATCCTGGAATAATTAACATTTTTGAATACGATATCTTAAGCACATCAATCTCTCGTTCGGTTTATGTTTCTTTTCACTACGTTCCTAGTTTCACACATGTACCTTCATTTTGTATTGTTGAGGCTGGAGCTGGAGATGTGATGGAATGTTGCTGCATTGTTGCCATATCTTGCATAGTTGCTTGTAGACGTGGTTAACCGAGGTTTTAACAAGTGGACGGAAATATTGCTATGTCAGTTATGGACCTCGTGGCTATAAAGTCATCCTCATCCTATGTACCTGAAACAAACGCATTACGTCAGAACATATTCTTGGTGTAGAATTCGCCCGGCAACATGTCCGTATAGACTTGTCAGTCAGTGTGACGAGTGCTCCGGAGATGGCAGCACTGGTCAAATATCCGACCATTTAATGCCGCAATATCAGCTATAAGAAACATTAAATGCAGTGAGCGTGAGAATCGGTTGTGCAGTAATCCAAAGTCAAGACCTTTGAGACCCACGACCAGATTTCTTTCAACTGAACTCTTGCGGTAATAATCCTTTGTAACTTCCTCTCTGACGAGAAGATGGGTTTGTCTCTTATGAATACACTTAACCTTTCGTCAAGTGTATATTTCGCACATATAACATATTATTGAATTTTTTTCCTCCTGCACTACACACAAGTCCTCTGTCAGTACAGGCTTAACAGAGCAGATCATGCCTATCTTACGTATGTATGTATGTATGTATTTATGTATGTTTGTATGTATTGTATGTATGTATGTATTATGGGAGGGGGTGGGTTTCCCCATACACTTAGACCAGTTATTGGTCCATTGTGCGTCCCCCTGTTAATTTCTACTGTCGCCATACCCTACCGGTAACGGTGCGTGCCATCAGCCCCCGTAGAGCCAACGAGGTCGGCCCCCGGTACCTTGATGCTTCCCCCATCCACCAGAGGCATTGGACACTACTTGGGCGGGGAAGGACCTGTAATTTAGCTCAGAGGTCTCCTAAAGACATGAAGTTCTTTTACGTGCCGTAAATCTACCACACGGGACACACGGCTTAAAGTCCCTCCTGGAGGACTTGTTCCCTGAATTTTTCCGCCCTTAAAAATTCCATGACCTCCGCCGGGTTTGAACCCGCGTACCCTGAGTCATGAGGTGGGAACGTTACCCCTAGACTGCGGAGGCCGCTTATCTTACGTATCTTATGCTACAACGGCAGCTTAGTCACTTGAACGGTCGTAAGCTTGGCCACCGCCAAGTTTAAGTCTCTTATATTTTCTATGTATGGCTTCACTTTGCCCTATATAGCGAATATGTTTATTCTAATGATTGTATGATTCTTGCCTGTGGCCTGCACAATTTTGTTATACACGTATACTCATATACATACGGAAGGTTGAAAGCTGTATACACACGGGCGGACTGGTGTGCACGTTTGAAAGTTTCCGATGGTGCGGAGAACTTTGTTCTGCATGCGGTACAACTTTAAGAGGTATAGGTGTCTGCCGCTAATTCCCAGGGAGAAAAGCATCATTTATTGCTGGTATGATCAGTGCCTTAAGGAGAGTCAGTTTAATGTTGGCGCTTAAACGCTCACTTTTGAATAGGAAGTAATCTGTTAATATACCTCTTGTACTAATCGCCCACTCTCCTTTTATACGACACATACCGCACAGAAAACGGAGCGCTAACAATTCTTACATTGTTGCGCGTGTGTACTGAGCCGCAAACTAACAACGGGGGAAATGCCGGAGACGGTATTTTCTCTCCGGTCCGACCCAAAATTATGTAGAGAACAAATAAAATATGGGGAAAAAAAAAAAAGCAAAAATATGGTCATGGGTGCCTATGGGACCTGAAACAAAGAATTACTATGCTTGCGATGGCCAGCAGCAATTTAACCGACCGACCAGAGATAGTTAAAGAGTCCTAGAGCCATCAGATAGTAAAAGAGTCCCACGGACTCGGAACCAAGATTCACTGTGCTAGCGAGGGCCAGCAGCAACTAACAGATTGTCAGGGGGTCTGAAGGTCTGTCTATGTATGTGTGTGTGTGTGTGTGTGCGTGCGTGCGCGCGCGCGAGACAGAGACAGAGAGAGAGAGAGAAATAAAGAAAGAAAGGATCAGTCAATGAGTGAGTGCCCGAGTCACCCCCAGTAGAGGGGGAGTAACCAGGAGTAGTCAGACCCCCTCCTCTCGTTGAAGAGGAGGCCCCGTTTCAAAACACGTAGAAGTTGTTTACATTCCCTACAGAACGGACAATACTTTGTAAGATGAGGCACCGACTAAATAATTAACATTAATATTACTATATCCATATCACAAGCCTCCAAAACAGTTTGTTATATATACACAAAATATAGAATACTCCAATTTGTCCGTGGGAACACAACAAAATCACAAAAACCAAAGACTGACTCGATGATGTAAAGCATTTTAATCTCGTTTTATACTACAACTTTCGTTCTATATAGTCTAATTTATTGTACTTTTACGCCAACTATTTTAATATAATTAATATTATTGTATCCAATTTTACTAGAACTGCAGTTCAGTGGTGTATATATGAGTATATTAGCCATGTATTTGCCTGATGATGGCTTTTAACAGCCGAAACATGTAGCAGAGCCAAACTTCGCACTGACCTTAATATAGTTGTGTTGTGACGGTTGTAATAAAGAAACTGTACACGTAGAAATCTTGGAAAGAACAAAAATGTGGCCATGGGTCTCGACGGGGGCAGAAACCAAGATTTACTCTGCTGGCATAGGCCAGAGGTAAATTTAACAGACCGACCGATCGAAGAGGCCCAATTTCGAAACACGTACATGTACGAGTATAGGAGAGAATACAAATCTTGGTCACAGACCTCGAGAAGATCGAAGCAAGGAATGACTGTGCTGGCGAAGGCCAGAAGTAATTTAACCGATCGATAAAGCCAACATAATCGCAGACTGCTTAGAAAACCAGTTCAGAACGCATGACTTGTGCGACTGTGACCATAGATCACAGATGGAGGCTCAAATCGAAACCCTGCTGGCTACTGCCGATGAAGGCACCCCTGTTAATTTCCGACCCTGTGACATCTGAAAAGAAATACAATCCTTGAAATTAGGAAAGCCATGTGGTTTTTCTGGCATTCCAAATGAATGTCTCCAGCATTGTCCAAGAAGGCTCCTTGTGTGTTTAACACGTTTATGCAATCGCTGCCTTCGACTTTGGTCACTTCTCGGCACCTTGGAAGGAGACAAAAATCATACATCTGCCGAAACCCGGCAAAAGATCCAAAATTTACGTCCAATCAGCCTCCTTTCCACTATGGGCAAACTATTTGAGAAGTTGATTTTAAGAAAAAGCTAAAAGCACACCGAGGAAAGAAACTTATTACATGCAAGTCGGTTTTACTTCGAACAGTACAACACTTAAACGTATGAGGCTGGCGGATCTCTTCACCCTGCATTTCGACAAAAATATGTCGACGGCTGCTGTTTGCGTGGATATCGAGAAAGCCTCTGACACAACACGATTTTAGCCCCCTATATTAATTGTCAGCTTTAGAATTTTCGACAAGTCTCATTAAACTGACTGCTTTTCTCACTGACAGAAAATGTGAAATCTTGGTAGAAGGAAAATTTTCTACGCCAAGAAAAATAGCGGCAGGAGTCCCTCGAGGTTCCGTCCTTGCTGCAATAGTCGAATCTTTAAGGGCGGAAAAATTCAGGGAACAAGTCCTCCGGGAGGGACTTTAAGCCGTGGGTCCCGTGTCGTAGCTTTACGGCACATAAAAGAACCTCATATCTCCAAAGGAGGCCACTGAGCCAAATTAACGGACGTTTCCCGCCCAACAGCAGTCACTAATACCTCCGGTAGATGGGGGAAGCATTATAGATACTTCTCAGCCAGTAGAGCCGGTCTCGCTGGCTGGGCGGGACTGATGGTAAGCACCAGTACCGGTAGGATATAGAGACTGGTAGAAATCATAGAGGGAAGCACAATGGACCAATACAGGTCTCAGTGCATGGGGAAACCCACCCTCTCCAATAACTAACTAAGTAGTAACCATATGTACCAGTCTTTTTAAGAGTGAAAAACTGTACATTCAGCCCACAAAGTGTATTTATGTGTTTCATATGACTCCCAAAATAAACAGAGATTATTTTTCTAAAGATAATTAAAGGATTAATCTTATGGTAGTGATGAAGTGTTTTCTGTGAGGTACAAACTCAATAACTGAACATCATTTAGACAAACTTCAGCCTTTGGAGGTTATGTTATGCAACTATCAGGAATGTTATTACACACGAAATATCTCCTAAGTTACGTCACCATGAAACAGTGAGGTTAGATTCCACCTTCAACATAGGATATGAACCAAAATCGCCACACCGGACATCTTGCTGAACACAGAGAATCATTCTTCCGTAAGGTTACCTACGCAGAGTATAGGGTACCCTCAAAGATAATTTAGACAAACAATATTAAAACTGAAGGCGCACTCCAGTTTGGAGTTCCATGGCTTCCGCAATTTCTTACACTTCACGTTCATTCTTGTGTATACATATTTACTGCGTTTGACAGCGCCACACATTAATGTCCGAATAAACCAATCAACAGCAGAGATACTGTAGTGCAGAGAACCACATTTTCTTGTATTATACGTCCTGATAATAACTGTCTTTGGCCGGCGAGGCGCTGTTGTTCTGTTGCAACGCGCTTGGTGACGAATGCAACAGGAAATGCAGAGAGGCAGGCCTGTACGGTAAGACAGTGGTTTCGCTGCTCTTCGTAGCACTTTTTACAGAACAGTTCGCCTTTATACCACGGGCAATCGTGTCTGCGCACGTGCAGTTGGCTAACAGTATTCCTCTCGCAAATAAATGAATAGATTAAAGTACTAGTTTCGATAAATACGATAAGTTCAATTCACGTTTAATCTAAATTAGGAGTTATGACGAACAGGTAACTCGAATTATTCCGAAAATCTGTAGTGAAATTATTGATTCTCAGAACAAAATTTAATTTAAACTAGTTATGTGTTGTGAGAAATTCGTAAAGCTTATAGCGGACAGACACGAAACATGATGTTTACAGGTACTCTAAGCTTGACTGATCAATCCATAACTTTTAATCTATCTATCAGGTATGTTTTAACTTAAATTTCTTCTCCAAATTGGCCATAGCCGCTTCTTCCCATACCCTCCGCGATATTTCATGTCATGTTACATAAAACGAGAAACAGTTTCAATAAGAGAACAGAAAATTGTGACGGGCCACGACCGCTCT